TTTCACCTCTGTTAGAGTAACTAGAGTAAGCACAAGTGTGTCATGGCGTTAGAGTCTGCATCTGAGTGTGACTATTGCACTGCTTAGGTTATTCGTTCATAATGGCGGGTATAGCATAAACTTGGGGCAATGCATCCAACGGTTAGGCCTAGAAGTGTGGTTTAACTTGCTCGAGGACGAGCAAAGGTTTAAGTGTGGGGTGTTGATAATAGGTGAATTTAACTGTAATTAGGCCCTAAAGAACCACCTTCTTGTATAGTTTTGATGATAAAAGTGATAACAAAATGCTCTGATTAATGCTTTTCATGCTTTGCAGGTGATATATGACAAGAGAAGGCTATGGAGTACTTTTGGGATCAAATATGGAGAAAAAGAGGCCAATCGTAAAATTTTGCCAAGTGAACCAAGCGAAGCAGCTCAAGCCAGGCCTGAAGAAGGACCGCCGCGGTTCCACCGCGGCCGCGGCAGAACTGCGGTAGAAGACGGTCGCGGATAAGTTGAGATTCAGAGAAGGTGTGTGGCCGCGATTTGACCGCGAACGCGGCAGAACCGCGGTAGAGGCAGAAAAGTTCAGGGACTTAAGTGCAAAACACGGGATTTTTAGCCCAAAACCCTATTTTAAATATTAGACTTCGCCCAAAGGAGGCAAGGATTGTATTGGAGAATATTTTAGCAAGGAAAACAATTGTGAGAGATCACCCAAAACATCTTTCTTCTTTTCTTTGATTTTTCTTGCAAGTTTTATGATGAATATTGTTTTAGTTAGTTTACCCATAGTTATGAGTAGCTAAATCCTTTGTCTAAGGTTTTGATGAAACCTATTGGGGATGAACTTCTTGTTTATGTGAATACAAATTGCTAGTTCCAATCTCTATTTGTTCAACTATGTGTTTGTTGTAGTTAATTGACAGGATCCTCAATTAGCTGTGCCTATTTAGTGTGCATAACTCGGGAGAGAGTGCATATTTAGGTAATTGTTGAACAACACCACTCCCAAAGTATATGAGGGATCAATAACCGAGGGTTTAAAGGCGGGATTAGGGATAACGAAGCCTTGGGTGTAATCTAAAGTGAATTTTTTTAAATAAAGCAAGCTAGTGTATCTCGGGAGAATGCAACTAGTAAATTACTGTGATTACTCGGGAGAGATTTACGGTAAGAAGAGCGTTCAAGATTGATAGAGATGTGTTGGTAAATTTGTATGAAGCATAAACAGAAGGAGTTCCATCAATAGGGGAAATCATTACCTTAGCACTTTCTCATTATTGTTTACAGCTTAGCATCTTTAATTTGCAGCTATTAGTTACTGTTAATCTTAGTTATTAAAAACACCATCAACTGTGATTCTCAACATTTGGGAAATTGACTCTAAAGAGTTTAGTAGGTCTAAAGATAGTGATTGATAGGTTAATTCTCTGTGGATTCGACTCTGGGCATAATACTCAGGTTATATTTGCAACGTCCGCATTGTCCTTTTTATAAGGCATAGTTGGGCGTGAGGCGAGGCGTTTTACCTCTGACGAGGCGAGGCGTAAGCCCTGAGACATGGGGCGTAAGTCCCACGGATCTTTATTTACTGATTTCAAGATTTTAAGATAGTATAAATAAAAATAATTATAAAATTATATTAAAATCACAAAATTATAACAAATAAATCTATTTAAAATATTTATAAATTATAATTCAACTATGAATAATACGAAAAGTATGACATATATCATAATATGCAAATTAGCAGCAACGTCGTTACAACTCAAACATCAAAAGTAATGTATTCGATATGAAATCTTATATGCATCTGTTAAGGAGTAATGAATCTTAGAAAGAATTTCGAATATTATAATTTGATATTTTTCTTAAAATACTCCTTTTATTTAATATGCTTTCTATTTGAAAGAGAATTTATATAAAAACATAATTCATAATTTAAATATGATTCTCTAGCATCATTTATTTTTAAGTTTCAACAAGTTAATAAAGCGACACATAATTTACCATACAATACGATGATAACTAATTATTTGTAAATAGTTACTAGCTAATACTGACTATTAAACTAATAAGTATTGTATCTCGTAAACGTGGAAAAAAAATATTTTAAAAAATAATTATAAAAAATTATGGACTATTATATATTAAAGACATAACAAAAGTTAATAAATAAATACCTTTTAAATGAAAGATTTATTTAAAATTAACTATCATGGTAGTCTTAGTGGATAACGTGCAATAATTTTTATTTTAATTATGACATAAAATACTCTCAACTTAATGATTTATGATTAAGAAAAAAGTAATTTTGAATAGTCAACGATTTATTAAGCAAATTTGAGAATTTACAAGGTTAATTATATAAAATTGCATAAAGTTCTATTAGGCGATCTCAGTACGCTGGGCGTTGGGCGTGTTCGGGGCGTAAGCCCCGATGGCCAAGGCGTAAGTCTCACGGAACTAAGCCCCACACATAAGCCCGGGGACGTTTTACGAGTGCTCCGCCCCGGGGCGAGTCCCAATTCTACCTTTTAAAATAGAGGATGGAATTGCTTTCTTCGTTAAAATGATTTGATTCCCTCTAATGGTTACATTTTAATTGTTTTCTTATATAATTTAATAGAAAATTGGCATATAATAAACTATGATAAGGAGAGGTTTTTCTTTTTCGCCAGCTAATATTCCTTACCTCCAATCGAAGGTCCAATAGTTCCATTGTGCGTATATTGGAAATAGATTTGATTTTAGTTAAATTTTGGAGAATTTATGAGTTTAATTTTGGAAGTAAATAATATATATGATGTTTGTTGAAAGAAAGATAAGATGATGTTTGGACTTGACACAACTTGATTTTGAAAAATATTTTGGAGAGCCGAATAAGAACTTTAAATTGAAACCGATTAAATATTTACTTGCAAAGAGGCATAGTTTTGGATAATAAAAGAAGTGATTGAAAAAAAAAACTTTAAAAAACAAAAGGGTCAAAATTATTTTTTACAGAACTATTTGGAAAGAGTGTTTCAGTTATGAAAACAAGATGGTCCACCATTATTGTAGGTAAATTCCTTCATTTTTAATCAGAAGTCTTATTATGTTTAATTTTTTTGGATGAAGTCGTCTTTAGTAGAGATTATTTTACTTTCAAATTAAAACTTTCCGATGCAACGTCAAATTAGTCGAGTCCTAAGACAAGTATCGGATACACAAGATGGTCCCGATGGTTGCGCTTTTGTAACTTGAAGTTTTGAAAAGTTTATAGAAAAACATTTTTCAAAGAAAAGATGTTTGAATTTTTTTTTAAATATTCTTTTAGAAATAATTTTATTAGTATTAGTTGATTTCTCATATTTTATTTTTCGAATCTTTATTAGAAATTTTTTTACATCAAAACGTGGCCGATCGACTATGGTTATCCTATGAGAACGAGAGGATAAGGAGCAACCATCAAAGTTTTGTTCCGAAAACTTGTACTGAAAAATTGAAATTCAAAACGTACTGGCTAATTTTTAAATAACAACCTTTTAGAGTGATTACCTGGTGTCATTTTTGTTGGACTTTTAAATCATTGGGCTTTAAAGATGAGTAGTGTGAATTCGGTAATGGTGGGAAATTAAATGGACTGGGTTGGGCTTCAAAAACTGACCCGGTTTATTTGGTTAAACTAGTTGACACAGTTTAATAAGTAACTTTAAAAGAACGTATCTTCCTATTAGATGTCTGTTCACAGTGAACAGACACCATACCTTTTCACAAAGCCAACAATTGCCTCTTCCTATCAGATGTCTGTTCACAATGAACAGACACCATGCCTTTTCATAAAGCCAACAATTGCCTATAAATTCAGGCATGGCTTCCATTCTAAAAATTCAGAAATTCAGAAACTACAAAATCACTTTCCCTCTCTCTGCAAGTTCATTAATCCAAAAAAAAAATCTTGAGCTTTCTTGTTCCTTGAAAATTGTAAGTGACGCTCTTTGAGTTCGTTGGTATCCTGCTTCTAGTATTGCCACTGTCGCAGGAAGATTTATTTCGTTTTATCCTAGGAGGATTTAATCCATTACCTTGGCAACTGTTAGGGGGTTAAAATTCCTTAAGGACACACAAGCAAATTGTGGACTCGGAATTATTTATTCTATTTCTTCTTCCTCTTGTTTTTCCTTAACAGTATTGATTTTGATTAATACACGTTGCCTAACAATTTTTAGAAACTTGTGGCCAATCGGCTATAGTGCAGTCTGGAAGATAAGTTTTCTATTGGATGGGCGGCCTAAGTGATATTCTCTCCGTTCTAATTTATATGGCAAAGTTAGGATTTTTAGAGACAAATGAAATTTTCATAGAAAAGTTTTTTGGGCTGGATCTTGCCCCCATAATCAGATTTCAGCACAAAAAACTTTTCCCTAGCAGCCTTATAGAGAACGCATATGGATTTTGATTTAATTTTTTATCGACTATTAAATCGTGTGTTGATTCGAAACTGGATGTTATTTTCATACAAGGTTTATGTTATTTGATTTGGACATTAAGTCTACGAAATTGCATTCCTAATTGCTTTGGGATTGAATGTTAGGGCATTAGTCACAATCCCAAATCTGCCTTGATTTTGGTACGGAGCATTGATTTTTCATTATGAATAGGCTAGCTCTATCTCTCAATTACCTATTATGTGCTCGAGAAGATCAGATAGTTTCTCAACAGCAAGTGTACCATTAACTACAAAGTAAAATATATCCACCATAAAAATTAGAAAGAAAAACAAAAAAGAATTTCTCAAGAATTCTCATCAATATTCAGAAAGGTAGATAGTCACATTAGCTCTTATATTGGATAAACAAACCCAAGCCTCCAAGCAGGAAAAACAAAACAAAACAAAAAAAAAAAAAAAAAAAAATCCAAAAGACATTAATGCATGGAACATTATTAACTAGTAGTGTGTGGGCAAGCTAACAAGCACCTCAACTTTTTTATCGGATAATTATGTGCACCAAAACTTGGACAGATAAAAGAAATTACGTATTAAACTTTGGAGTAGGAACGATCCACAATGCTGGTGGCATTGTGTGGTACTTATCATGAGTTTGCGTGTTGAATGAAAAATGAGTGTTGAAGGTGCCATCTTGAAGGTGAATAAAGTCCACACAAAACATCCAAGGCTTACACGGCGAGCCATACCGATACATATAGAATATAGAATTCGCTTTGCATCCCGAAAACTTGGAAGCCAAAACAGAAATTGAGCAATGCTGAGACAAGAACAAGACTTCATCTCCCAAGTTGTCCAACTCGACAAACATGGATTGTTGGGTCGTTGGTCTTGCAACCAACTTCCAAATCTTAACACTTGTTGGCTTAGCATGTGGACGAAGTATTTCAACTCTTAGCAGCTCGTTAGTCGTGGTCTTTACGAGATAAAATTCTTTAAATTCCTTATAAGTTGATGGTGGTGCAATCTCCTTATATTTCAAAGTAGTGTTGTCTATTGATAAAACCTTACCATAATAAGTGACAATGTAGTATCTGTCGTCATAGTATATCATATCGTTGCATCCTCGGATAATTCCATGAATGGGAATCCAGGTTTTTCTACCAGGTTTTAGGATAGCCACTTTATCCTCGGTCCAGGACGTGGACATAGCCGCGACCTCATAATCATATGTACTGGTTGAAGGATTTTTGGACAGAATAACTTTATGGGCATCAAATTCAAGAGGAGGAAGATTGATTTTCTCGTGTGTAAAAGGATTGAAAAGAACAAAACTATTGGGAGCTTGAAAAGCCAACCAACCATGAGAAGAACCAACACATTCGTGAGTCCAATATCTTAATGGTATTTCAAGGTCCAAAACTATTTTACCTTTGGTCACACTGTATAAGCTTGTGTTAATGGCCGGCATGTCCCCAATTGGACCTTTAAAGATCATTAACAGAGGAAGTTCTGCAATGGAATTTGTATCTCCGCGCTGTTGCAGGGCGTCATAATTGTTGGATACGAAGAACAGCCATGATTTACACACAGCGCCAAAGCATAAGCAATCAGAGCAGGAAGGCAACTTTTGAAAAATCAAGTCGAGTACCAAATCCGAAAGCCCTGTCCAATCTCTTAATATTAACTTGGACCCCATTAGTATTTTCAATAACAGATTGGACTTGTGTTTTCGTTAGAGTAGGAATCACAACTATCCCTTTGTTTTAAATTTTTCTTTTTTCTGTTGCCTTATATAAGGCCAAAATATTTACATTCCTTGAAAATAGGAGATTCTCCAACTCCTCCTGGGAATTAAAATTCTTCGAAAATTGGACTCCAATTTCTAATTGCTTTGGGATTGAATGTTAGGGCATTAGTCACAACCCCATATCTGCCTAGTATTAGGCAGATTTCCTTGTTTTTGTCATGTGTGGCTCAATATATTGTTTTCACTCAAACAATATAGCGAGCCTTGAATTCACTAATTTGTCAAAGACGTTTTATGATAGAAAGCTCGTTGAAGAAAGCCAGGTGCCGACGTGCCGTAGGTAAGCTCTATTTAGTCCGGAGCATTGATTTTCATAATGAATAGGTTAGCTCTATCTCTCAATTATTTATCCTATGCCGAGAAGAGTCAATTCGAGGTGAATTTAGCTGTCTTATGTGAGATATTTGACTTTTGTTAAGGGAAAATCACGAGGTTTGACATGAAATAAATCACCATAGAAGCACTGTAAAAATGTAATGCACGCCTTTGTTTTGTCACAGTACCATAGCTTGAAAAGGATTTACAATATTAGCCTCTTTCTTATTCCCACACATAATTTATTGCTACCAACACTTTGTCCTTCTCAGGGACAGATAAACAATAGTATTAGCTATTAGTTCAGTCGCACAATAGCTTTGACTCATATATTGTATGATGTGTTAAAAGATTTACTAAAAATGTATATAATAAATTCAAATTTCAGTAATTCAAAGAGTCAGTGAGTTCAGTGGCATGCAAGATCCATAAAGTTTAAATGTTGAATCCGCTTCTGGCTCAGACTTTTTACTTTGTACCATCATTTCCTGTTTCACTTAAAATGTCTCAAATCCATACCATATATTTTATCCATCAAGTATAATTTAGGACTTTCTGCAGCAAGTGTATCATTAATGATGAAATGGGGATTACATAGACAAAGTAGAGTCAATTTATTTGTTATTACATTTAGTTAGATAGAGTATGTATTTAGACACGTGTAAATTGATGAGTTAGTTAGAGAATGATGTGTATATAGGGTGTTGGTTAGTCAATGTAACAGTACACTTTCTCATTCTTCTGAAATGAAGTGAAACTTCTCTCTTCCTCTCTAATCTCTTTTCAATCCAACATCAATTGCTTATTCGATTCACACAAATCTTCATGGTATCAGAGCGGAAGATCGCGATTGCGATACGAATCTGAGGACCTTGATAATTCCACAATAATCACGATCTCAATTTGCAGCTTGAGAGGAACAGTTGAAAATGGCGGCAAAAACAGATCTAGACCACAATCATCCTCTTTTTCTTCACCCGTCGGACACTACCGGAGCTCCGATTATTTCGATTCAGTTGACTGGTTCTGAAAATTACTCCAACTGGAGTCGTGCGATGGAGATCCAGCTGTTAGGAAAGAACAAGCTGGGATTAATCGACGGTCTGAAAAAAGGAGATTTTATTGCAGAACTAGGTCATCAATGGGATAGGTGCAATGCAATTGTCCTAGGGTGGATTATGAGCTCAGTTTCAAAGGATTTGATTACTGGGATACTGTATGCAAGAGATGCGAGAAAAGTGTGGGAAGATCTGAAAGAGAGATTCGATTAGGTGAACACATCGCGGGTCTATCAATTACAGAAGGCTATAGCAACAATAAATCAAGGAACAGATAGTGTTTCGATATATTTCTCTAAACTCAAAACTTGTGGGATGAATTTGACAGTATGGTCCCACCTCCATGTGGATGTGATAGGTCGAAGAATTTCATTGAGTTTATGGAAAAGCAAAAGGTACTGAAGTTCTTAATGGGTCTGAATGACAGTTATGAACATGCTCGCAGTCAAATTCTTATGACTAGCCCAACACCAAGCATCAACAAAGCATATGCAATGCTTATTGAAAGGGAAAGTCAGAGATCTGTGGCTAATACCTCTGCTGTGGGTGAAGGTGTTGACCTAGCTGCCCTGCTAGCTGGTAAAGGAGGAGGCTACCAGAACCACCAAAAGCAGAAGAGAAACTGGAATGTGCAATGTGACTTTTGTCACATGAAAGGGCATACAAAGGAGGGATGCTACAAAATAATTGGTTACCCTCAAGACTTCAAGAATAAGAAGAAGGGGAACACAAATACTGCATATAATGTTCAGGTTGAAAACTTTAGTCCTAACTTTGCAGGTGTTGATGAAAGGAGAGGAGAAATACCAGAAACAATCAAGGAAGGAAATTGGCAAAGAGCACCACAACTTACATTGGATCAGTATGATCAGATTGTCAAATTGCTCAGCAAGGACACTCAAAAGATATGATGGCTAACATGGCAGGTACAACCCATTCCTTTATGGCTAAAATGACAAAAGGGAGTTGGATAGTTGATACAGGTGCTACAAATCATATGGTAGCAGATTTAGGAATGCTAATTAATATTAAGAATATTAGCCCTACTAGAGACAAAAGAGACCATTTGCCTAATGGAGAATGTACAATTATATCACATGTTGGAAATTGTAAAATAACAGAATCAGGGGAAATGCAAGATGTATTGTATGTCCCAGAATTTGCATACAATCTTCTTTCAGTGTCAAAGATAACAAGGGACTTACATTATTTTGTATCCTTCTATCCTGATTTTTGCTTATTCCAGGACCTCTCAAATGGGAAAGTGATGGGGATTGGTAAGGAGAAAGATGGACTCTATCTGCTTGTACCAAGAGCTTCTATAACTACTGATAATAACATACCAGTAGTCAAAGGGCTGAGTGTTCAGGCATCTAAGGAGGACATATCTCTACGGCACAAGAGATTAGGACATGCATCTGGACGATCATTGAAGGAACTTTTGGGATACAAATTGGAGGATTGCAAGTGTGTAATAGATAGTTGTAATATTTGCCCAATGGCCAGACATGTAAGGCAGTCTTTTCCATTAAGTAATACTAGGGCTACTAAAACTTCTCAATTGCTGCACTTAGATGTATGGGGACCTTGTAGTATTCCAACCTTTGATGGAAATAAGTTTTTCCTGACAATTGTGGATGATTACTCTCGTATAACCTGGATCTTCCTTTTGCAATTCAAGAGTGATGTCATGATTGTTTTTAAGTCATTCCTTAGGCTGATACAAACACATTTTAATGGGGTAGTACAAATAATTAAAAGTGATAATGGTGGAGAGTTTGTAAACTCAGCCATGCAGGAATTGTGTACATCTATGGGGATAGTTCACCAGAGGACTTGTGTCTACACACCTCAGAAAAATGGTGTAGCAGAGAGAAAGCATAGACACTTGCTTAAGGTTGCAAGAGCTTTCAAATTCCAAGGTCATATTCCTATGAAATTTTGGGGCCACTGTGTTCTAGCTGCATTTTATGTTTTTAACAGACTTCCATCACAAGCACTCAGTGGTAAGTCACCCTATGAATTGTTTTTTGGGAGAAATCCCTCCATATCTCACTTGAAAACATTAGGATNTTCCTTTTCAGGATTCAACTAATGGTGATAAAGACAAAATCATGTCTTGTATTCCTCACTGTGCTAATGATATTTGCAGTCTTGAAGGTGAAAACATAGAAGGCCTTGAAGCAGGAACAAATCAGCTGGATATTTCTGACAACAATGCAGAAGACATTGTGCAACAAGCAGGGAATCTACAAAGTTCAGACAGTCCTGCACAAGAATTGCAAGATGAGGACAATATGTTGCAGGATGCAGAACACCACAGTATCACTGATGTCCAAAACTCAGAGGCTACCACCTTGGAGGCTAACACCTTGGAGATTCCTAATAATCATATAGCCCAGACACCTGTTGACACTCTTAGAAGATCACAGAGGGAGCTTAAAGAACCAGTTTGGTTGACAGATTATGTCACCACAAGGAAGGCAGGCAACACTGCTCTATATACCATTCACAACTATGTCACATATGACAATCTTTCTTCTTCTTATCAGGCATACTTGGGCATATTATCATCCATTGTTGAGCCTAAAACATTTCAGGAAGCCTCTAAGGTTCCTAGGTGGATAGAAGCTATGCAGACTGAAATTCAAGCCCTGCAAGCTAACAACACTTGGGAGTTGGTTCCATTGCCTCATGGGAAAATAGCTATAGGCTGTAAATGGGTTTACAAGGTCAAACTTAAGGCCAATGGTGATGTAGAACGATTCAAGGCACGGTTGGTAGCCAAAGGGTACAACCAAAGAGAGGGACTTGACTATAATGAAACCTTCTCACCTGTAGTGAAGATCACCATTGTGAGAACAGTCCTTTCTTTGGTAGCTATGCATAATTGGTCAGTCCAACAATTAGATGTCTACAATGCATTCTTGCAAGGAGACTTACATGATGAGGTCTATATGGACCTACCACAGGGTTTTACAAGTCAGGGGGAGTCTGGATTGGTTTGTCGACTTGTAAAATCTCTATATGGGCTGAAGCAGGCAAGCAGACAATGGAACCTGAAGCTGATAGAGGCATTGGTGCAAGCTGAGTTCAAGCAAAGCTGTTTAGATCATTCTTTGTTCATCAAGAAGAAAGGATCAGACATAGTGATAATACTGATATATGTTGATGACATGTTAGTTACAGGAAACAGTGTGAAGCTAATAGATGCTACTAAAGTCTTCCTGCAACAGGCTTTCAAAATCAAGGATTTAGGAGAGTTAAAGTTTTTCCTTGGGATGGAGTTCAGCAGATCCAACAAGGGTATTTTGATCAATCAAAGGAAGTATGCATTGGAAATAATCTCAGACTTGGGACTAAGTGGAGCAAAGCCAGCCTGGACACCATTAGAAACAAATGCCAAGCTGACAGTTCCAGAACTGGACAAGCTATTGGGCACAGAAGATGATCAAATGCTGGAAGATGTAGACCAATATCAGAGGCTCATTGGGAAGTTGCTGTATCTGACCATGT